CATTAAGCAATACACTTTCCATATGTCATTATATATACAACATACCTCAATAGAAAGGAAACTTTTTGTGTATGATACTGGGGGCAAATCACTGATCACTCCTAAGCTCAGAGCCCTTTTGGAATGGTTTTTACCTTACAAATATTCATAGATAGAACAAATCAATGAGCAGAACAAAATGATTTGTGCTCTACTGCCCTCCAACTTGTGTTGTCTGTGCCCTTGCTCTAAATTCTTCTCTAGACAATATATATATTTTTTCTTCTCCTTTTTTCCTTAAGGTTTATATGATCATTGCTATGGCTGTGGTCAGTTTTGAGCTATTCCACAAGATTTAATCACTCCATTTTCTCTAGTTCATAAACTACCGAGAGTGTAGAAATTGTCAAGGGCAGAAGCAGAGGATGAGGAGGGTGCAGAAGCAGAGCACCAAATTGAAGTGAAGCCAATGCAGACAGCAGGAGGCTTTGCTTTTGGATTTAGTGCTCAAGCCAAGTTTATCCTAATTTTCCCATACAGTGAGGATGATGTGACACATTATCTTTTTTTTTTTTTTTTTTTGGTTTTTCTCCAGTACCGGGAACCGAACTCACGACTTTGCACTTGCCAGGCAGGCGCTTTTGCCGCTGAGCTAAATCCCCAGCCCCAACATTATCTTTTTTTGCACTATCGTGCAAATGGCTTATTTTTTTTTTTTTAATTTTAGAAATAAAAGGAGGAAAATACTAACAGATCGACAACGTTTTACAAAATAGCAAAGGATCAGTACAGACATTACAGAGTTACAAACAGAGTGGTAGGGAATTAACAATGCTTATTGTATTACATATTGATATCTTCAATGTAGTTTCTCATGAAAACACATATAGACATACAAAGCTAATCAACCAATGCCTCACTGACAGTTTCTTTCAGCAAGGAAATACAGGACAGTAGAACACCTGTGTTAACTATCCTGCATATACATATATACAAACTTTCTCCTTCTTTCCCTTCTCTTTTCCCATATTCCAGTTATCCTTTACCTATGAGTGCTTTCCTATCAATTCCCAATGTCTATCATATCTCCTAGTTTAAATTAACTCTTTCAGGCTTTACACTAGAGAAACAATGCGGTGCTTACACATGTATGTTTGATTTATTTCACTTCTGAGCATGGTCTCTAGTTGTGACCATTTGCCTATAAAAGCCTCGAGTTTATCTTTCTTTACAGCTGAGTAATATTCCATTATATAAAAGTACCACAATTTTATTATCCAGTCCTCAGTGGATGGACATTTGGGTTGCTTCCACATTTTAGCAATTACAAATTGTGCTGCTATGAACATAGGTGCACATACATCACTGTGATATGATATTTTTAGATTTTCTGGGAAAATACCCAGCAGGGGGATAGCTGGGTTGAATGGGACCTCTAGGCCTAGTTTTCTGAGGACTCTCCAAACTGATTTCCACAGTGGTTTCACCAGTCTGCATTCCCACCAGCAGTGGAGAAGGGTTCCTATTTCTCCACAGCCTCGCCAGCATTTGTTATTGGCTGATTTCTTAATGCTAGCCGCGAATGGCTTATTTAAAAAGCTCCCAGGAGACAACATTAGTATTACCCTTTGGAGCATTAGGTTACTATACCTAAACCATCCATACTTTTCCAATGAAATTATGTACTTCAACAGAATGGTAGCCATGTATGAGTCTCAGTAGCTGAGCCTGAGGGATACAGAAAGCAATCTTTGTGTTCATCCACTTGGTGAACACAAGGTGATGAAGGAATAGCAAGGTGTGTATACCTGTGCAAATGTGTCAAATTGAGATTCTTACCCACATAATGGTCTGTGTAGCATTTTTTGGATATATATCCATGAGCATCATGGGGGTAAAATGCACCCATACCACTCTTCTCTTATGGTAAATACTCACATTTCAAACTTTTCTAATGAAATTTTGTACTATAGCATAATGGCAGCTGGCTGTGTGTCTCAGTAGCTGGGCCTGAGGTAGACAGAAAGCAATCTTTGTGTTCACACATTTGTTATGACAAACACTAAGGTTTGTACACCTGTTCAAAAGTGTCAAATTGATAGTTTTCCCGCACATAATAGTCTGTGTAGTATTTTTGCATATGTACTTCTGAGCATCATGGGAGGTAAAATACACCCATACCATTCTTCTGTTCTGCAAACATCTAATTTCCCATAATGTCATCTGGGTGTAGCTCACATGTGCCTGGGGAAAACAGGAACCCTTTGTGCATTCACCCCCTTGGCACATGGACAGGAAGGTGTGTACAGGAACTCCAAAGCAGCAGCAGCAGCAACATGAGCTTCACCCATGAAATGCTCATTGTTCAATTTCTTAGATTTAGGATTTTTTTTAAGTTTTCCTTTGATTTTTGTTATAGAAGTAGCCCAACTTTGTAAAATATCACATGAAAAACCCAGTTGCTGTGGCTTTAGGTAGTATGTGCCCAGAACACCTTCAAAATGCAGTATAAAAATGTACATCCTGCTAGATTCAAAGATACATACTTTCAATTTAGAAATGTATTCTGGAACTCAGCCACCAGGTCCTTTACAGTAATGAACCAAATATTGTTGTGAACAGATTCATTGCTCCCATCTCCCAAACTAATTGGAATGTGACATTTGACAATTGATTTACCAGTTCCCAACTGAAGTTACATTTGCTAACAGAGCTCACATTAAACAATGTAGGAACTCTACACAAGAACAAAGCAGAAATACCCAATGAAATGTTGCAATTTTAAAACAGAGAATTGAAAAAAAAAAGAAAAAAAAAATTAAAACAGAGAATTGTACAGTACAATCTTTGGATTTTGGAAAAATAAAACATGGCAAAGAAAACCAAACTGGTACTGCTGATGTCAACATTGCACTATGAGGGAAAAATTGATAGAGAAACCCCAACAAAAGTGAAGCCTGAGATGGTAACATTTTAAAACAAAATCAAAAGTGGAGTAGATGTTAACAAGTTATGTAGCAACTGTGATGTCACTTGAAACACAAAATCTGGGCCAATGGTTGTGTTTTATGTGACCCTAAACAAGTATAGCACGAATAGTTTGATATTTTACAAAGAAAATAACAAATGAAAAATATCATGGAGAAATTTTCTTAGAGGACTGGAACTGGAACTCACAAGAGATCATTTTCAACAGAGGGAGAGCAAAATGTTTCTGCACAGGGAACTACACTAAAAAATTGTGGAGCTTGCTGGTGAGCTCACAGATGAACAAGCAGGTACAACCGCACAAAGACCTACCACAACAGGAAAACCAAAAGGATGTCAACTGTGCCCTACAAAAGAGAACAGGAAAACAAAACAGATGTGCTAACAGCATCAGTGACACTTGTGCATGGGGAGAATTTTGTTTGTATTTACATTGTAATTCACATAGGTATTTACTTCTGATGTTATCTTTTAGGTTTTGTAAGCAAGTACACAGCTGATGTGAAATGTTGATGTCTATTGTCATTAGATATTTGATATTTTACTTTATTATTACCTTATATCCTTATAAGCGCATGTGGAACAATATAGTAAGAAGCTCCTGACAAAACAGCAGTACCTGCAAGATGTCAAGTATGTCCTACATGAAAGGCAGGAAAGTTAAACACATGTGCTGTCAGTGTAAGTGATAGAAGTATATGAAATGTGCTGTTGTCATGTGTGAAGACTGCCTTGGGTGTGACAACTGAAGTAAAGATAATTTTTGTTGTAGAGTTTTATTGATAGTTTCATTCTAGCTCATACAGGAATTTATAGCTGTTGTTATATATTAGACTTCATAAACCAAAAAGAAGTCAGTGTGATTGTCGGTGGGATATTCTTTATGTGTTCCTCCTTTTGGAGATGGATAGAATCTGATGATTGGGGTATCACATGACATGGTCATGCTTGCTGTTGAAAATTTTGATGCTTTTTAATAAACATTCAATAAATATTAAAAATTCTACACTTTTTTACTTTTTTCCTGTTAAGTACTCATTGATATCATGAAACTTACAAAATTAAAATTAATATTTCACCAATAGAAATACTTTTAAAGCACAGATGTGGAATTTCTACATGCTTCAGTGTGTTCCTTTAACACAAAATTACCATGACTAGGGGTGGAGAAAGCTGGACAAGGAAGGGGAAGAAATTAGGTAAAAGTGTAATTTCACACAAAGTCCTAGACTCGACCTGGTCCCCACCTAAACCTGTGGAACTCTGCAGTCTAACTCCCACCTCAGAGTCACCTGGGCTGAGGAAGACCTTGAGGCTATCACACTCCTGAAGCAAATGCCTGGGGTAAAGTCTTCCCTGAAGGGCATCCTCTTCCTGGCTTTTCAGACCTTTCGGCCAAGTAGAAAAGTGGCAGCAATGCCTGGGGGCAGCCCTCTAAAGGAAACAGTAAGAATCACCTATACTGAGGAAAAGCACACAGAAGTTAGAGGAAGGACTCTGATCTGAAAAGATCCAAGGGGATCTAAGTGGGGCATCAAGCTTCTGCTGCAGTGGCCGTGCTACTTTCCAGTCCTGATTTTCTGTCCTAGCTGCCCCAGATGACTAGGGACTTGCCCTCTCTTCTTGAGCACAGCTACTTCTTTTGTGTTCTCATTTTCAAATAAAACCATCATTTCCACTGTTAAACTGACCTCCAAGATGAGAGCATTTTGCTACTCTGTAAAAGCTTAGTGTCTCAAGGCAACAGTCTGAGAAGGAAAGGCATGATGATGATGAAAATGATGATGATTGGAAACAACAATAACAATAGCAATAGTAACTAATACTTATGATGAGCTTGCTATGTGTCAGTTATTGTACTAAAGTTTATTGTTTCTGTAAAATATATATATAGAAAAATTGAAATTTGGTACTACTCTAAAAGAAACAAAAAGTGCAATACATTTTTTTATTTTTATTTTTTGCTTTATTCCTACATGAGGAGAAATAAAACATTTCACCAAAAAGAAAGCTTAATGTCTAGTAGAATAACTTAGAAGAAACTTAAAAAGTAAATTTTATTATACTTATTTTAAAGCTGCAAGAAACTAAACCTCATCCAATTCTTCAAAATCCAGCCTTTTCCTTAGGTGCATTCCCAGTCAGTATTGAAGAGTGCCTGGAGGTACACTCGCTCTGCTGACAGTGCCTAATACACTCCTGGACGCACAGTGATGCACCTGGTGCCCCCTGCAGGTGTGCAACTCTACTCCCGAGTCAAATCATCAGCAAGGGACTTCCTTGGAGAGGAGAAGAAAATTTTTGCTCTTGAGCACTTGGAATTTTTTTTTTTTATTTTTAAAGCCACACACAAAAAAATCATTATTAGTATTTTCAGTTAACTTATTTCTCTAATTGAAAAAAAACAATTCAGGGCTCTTCCAAAAGGCCATATATTCTGGCATGGTCCCTTAAAAGAATTATGGACTTGTTTCACAAGCGTTGTATCATAGCTGATGCTCCATCAAGGAGAAAGTTCGTGTTCTGTACTGTGTAGTTTGTACTTTATATTTAATATTATGAAATCATTTTCTGGTCAGTGCTGATTGTTTTTCATATACTTAAAAATATATTCTCAATATTTTCCCTTAAAATCTATGCCTCTTCTTCCAATATTTCTAAGAGTTTACTGAACAGACAGATACTGTTTTCTTTGTCTGTATCCAGTGCACATCTTGGAGGGCTCCTTTAGTATTTGCCTTGTCTTAACATAGCAGTAGAGAGTTAGCTGTGTGATGCATCACACTTTGATTTGAGAATTTTTGTGGGGCTTTTTTTGGAGATGTCTTCAGAAGCATCGGTACAACCAGTGAGATCTTTACAGTTCCATTTCTTTAGCATATGAAAGGCCCCTTTCAAGTCTCAGCTCGAGTGCAGTGTGTGACAACCTTTGACAGTAATTAGGTTTCTGGATCTCAATTTCTTCATTTGACTAATGGGGAAAGAATGTCAACTTCATAGGGTTCTTGAAAGAGTCAAATGTGAATGTGCTTGCGAACACACTTTGTTAAAATGGGACTCACTGCCCACATAGAGAAAAACCATAACCATCGTACGCATGTATGCATGCAAGTCTATAGAGATACCACTCGTAAGTGAGGAAGCTGAGTTCTACTGTCAGCTCTACTCTTCGTAAACATCTGGCCATGCTCATGAATGCAGCCTTTTCCATTAGTGGAACTCAGTTACCTCATCTGTAAATGAGGATGGGTAACTTTTTAAAAGTTCCTTCATGACTTAAAGATGGCTAATAACGAAGCCAGGTGTAGTAGTGCATGCCTGTACCTTCAGCACTCTGTGAGGTTGAGGCAGGAGGATGGCAAGTTCAAGAGCGGACAGGACAACTTAGCAACTTAATAAGCTCTTGTCTCAAAAAAAAAA